TCAATCATAGAGTATATTTGATAGAATGAGAGTTTGACTTTAAATATTCATTGAAATGAATGAGAAGTTAGCAGAAGAGAACACTTTTGGTGATAAAAGCTATGAGAGCGATTGTAACAGCAAGGAAAAGAATGAAAACCCTGTTAAAACGGCATTTTAAAGACGAATGGATGTAATTTCAATGTTGCCATCAACTACCTCATTTATATATCCGAGATGAAAAACACCATCACAATGGCGTTCTATCATAACATGACAACTGCACTAAATACTATTTTCTCGACCCTTCCATTGCCCTTTGACACCTCCAGATTACCCAAAATGTGTAATTTCACCTCCCCCCCCCATGAGAACCACTGATTTAGAAGAACGAGGTCCAGCTCTAGATTTCACAAAGGAGAACAGGATGCTCCTTCCCCTGCCCGTCTTTAACTCTACTTTTGAGCGTCAAGTCAAGAGAAAATCAGCAACTTCAACCATTAATCGAGAAGTTTGCTGCCAAGAATTCATCGGTTGTATCAAAGGAAACAGATCCATCCTCGTTATAATAAGAGTTCTGCACAAGAATTATGGGATGAATGAATCAACAAAGATTTGCTATCCTCCTCAATTCTATCCCAAAAACCTTAAATTGCCTGCTACGAGAACCTTTTAGATTATTGCATTCGAGAATTCATTTTGCCTCTCTTTTGCAATTTTTCGATATTACCGCTCATTATATTTTTTGTGCGTTTTTATGTTCACTTCACAGAGCTTAGGAAAAGTTCGTAAGGTTTTGAGTGATCCTGAAATTAAATAAACTTCATGATCCGTTAAAGGCTTAGACAATCTTATCAGAAATTTTTAAGTGACGCATATTCAGTCGGAGAAGAATCAGCATGAAATGCCGTTGATCGTAGGGTTGTATCTAATTACGTGAATTCATTACCACTTTATTCACTCATTCGTCCATTTTACTTTCATCCCTCGGTGAAGTGTTGAAGAATCGTCTGTCTGTTTTCTGAGCGATTCATTGGCTTGCGTTTGATTATTCGAATACGCTCTTCGCGTTCTTCAGATCATTTCCGAATTCTCTCAGCACCATAAAAATTCAACTCTCCCGAAATAAAACCGACATAAAGAGCCTATACTGCTGGTTCATTGCGAACAATCACGCAAACATTCTTGATTGCTCACCATTAAATACTCGTAATCATTCAACTTTGAACATATTCATTCCCCTGGCACACAATATGCACTCATAATCAATTCAAATTTAATGGCTCTTCTTTGCTAACGAAAACAATACTCGATCTATTTTTGTGAGTTTTCCTTGCAAACGAACTCTTTCAAAGCAATAAGCAGTCCGATAATGAAAATTTTCCCAATAGTATGCAAAAATTGAATAATTGTCATGCACTGACGAGCGTTCATATTATGAGTGGACGTCGAATGCTTTTGAATGAAGTTTTGGGAAGCTGTTTATTTCAAATGTGTNATTCGAGCAATTTTTGAGGAAAGTTCATTTAAGGGTCTTGAATTCATATTGGATAAAGACGAGATCGATGATTTAGTGCTGTATATAAAGGGATATTATAAGTTAGCGATTGGTTCGGAATTATTGTGTACATATTGTGATGTAACATCAGATGACACTTCGAAGCCATTCGGTAATGGTTGTATTTGCAATTACGATTATCGTTTTCGGTATTTTAATGAACTACTCAATTATAATGGATGGATAATGATCATCAATGAAGATTCTGTGTTTATAAAAAAAACAAAACTTTTAGTGAAAAAGCAACTGTCTTCTTTCACAGTGTAGTTTTGAGTAGGCAGTCAGCTGTATCTTTAACGTTTATTGAAGAAATTTCATGATAATTCGTCATTTCTTAATTGGATGATACAAATCTTCGAAGTGAAACGAAGTCGCAGATTTCAGTCATCAATATTTCAATTATAGATATTTACTATCATGATAGCATCTCCGTGGGACGAGTTGCTTCAAACAACATCCCAGAAATGTCGGCGAAATTACATGTTTTTGGTGATAACAAGATACCCCTTCATTGATATCTAATAGTTACTGTTCAGTGCCATTTATGTCGAAAGAGGCGAGGAGTAAAGATTCAATTTTAGCACCTTTATATCGCTCAATTCATACGGTCTTTTCATCTGGCTGGAACTATTCCATAGATTGCTCACCAGGTGAGAAACTCGTGAATTTATCATTGGAACCGCCATCTTATAGTATTGCTGTTGCGACTTGTCCTGAAGTAAAACAACAGCACCAATCACTTGAGTTCGTTTAATGTTACGTTTTTTGAATGATATTTGTTGCCTTTTGATATGTATTCGTTGAAATATTTGTGCTGATGATTGTTCAACTTCAGATCGTGAATTCACATTACCTATTTTGAAAATCAGTTGCTTTCCGGTTCCAGTTTCCAAACTAGTATACTGTTTGGCACTTATTGCATTATTGAAAGTTTGAGTAATTAGATGCACACTCGAGTTCAAGTACAACATGATAGTATCACTAATGCAACCCTATAGTTGGGTGGAGGGAACTGTGAAACAATTTGACATGACTTTTGAATTGATATTTTCAGTCATGTCTTGAATTATAGAATCGTTGTTTGATTATTCTTTGGTGTACTTCCATCTTGAGGCAATGTTTTTGTTGTTTGTTTTCGAGACCTAATCTGGATTGAGTTAAGCGAGCAGGATCCCCTCGAGACCGGCCAACGACGGAAGAGTCTTCTGAAGGCAACTGACTCACTGCTGTTACGGCAACGCCTTGCCTCTCCTCTCACTAGATTTGCCAACGTGTG